GTGTGTGTGTGTGTGTGTGTGTGTGTGTGTGTGTGTGTCTCCCTCTCTCTCTCTCTCTCTTAATTACATTACATTGATCAAGACAATATGAAAATTAAATATTTCTCTTAGCAAAAAGAGGCGATTTTAACTGCCTTTTAAATGTGGTTGGTTGGTGGGTGCTCTGGTGTGGTTTGCTTCTTCTTTCCTATCAAACATCTATCGTCCGTATCTCCCCTCCTTCTTTTTCATGTTTGTTACTCTCTTGTAACACCTCTAATCTTCTGGCGCTCATATGAACTTATGCAGTTGCGAGCGTCGTGAAACCTCTACTAAAACATAAAACAGAACAGGGCTCTCGAGTCTTTGATATACATTGTAATCTGTGGATAAGCCATTCCACATCAGAGGATCATAAAGCGAAATGGAACGCTTTCCACAAATTAATGTTTAATTCACAAATGACTTGAATTTAAAAAATGTAATCACTGGACGACCTGAGACGTCTTGCTGGTACATACATTTGAAGAGTGTTTAAGAGACAGGCCAGTGCAATAACATTTACACTTTTATAAATAGAAGACAAACTTTGAACACGACACGGTTTTTGACTGGCAGTGAAAGCAGTTATTCTAAGATTGGGTTCGTGTGAGTTATTTTCTTCAAAAAAAAATTATATAGAATATACGCATTATTTTGGACCTTGTGAAGGCAGCGGAGTGATTCGTTCGAAATGCTAACAGGAAGAGAATTACGACACATCATTTTGAAAGGATAGGCAGTGTTACATACAACGGTTTTTGTTACACTCTCTGGTGTCAGACGCAATATTTTGCTGTGCTACACTGTGCTATACTATGCTATGGTTTGTTGTATTTCACTATATCATGATAAGCCACGTTAGTTATGTCAGGCTATACTATACTATAGGCCAATCATAATATTAAAGATGATGATAATCACAACAATACAAAGAACAACACAAATGATATAGTTATGATGCTGATAATAATAATGAGTTGTAGCTCAACTCGTTTAGATTATTCTTAGAACGGTAAAAGCAAATCCAGTTGTCATTTGCCTACAGCATAAATCAAAGCGGTATTGATAGAGGCGTACAAACATGAGGCATGGAATACCAAGCCAGAATGTTTCACAAAACGGAGCGGAGAGAAAAGGAACCATGTCGGAGTAGCCTAATGGACCAGGTATAGATTGGTGATGGAAAACGGTCATAGCCATGAGAGCGATTCAATTTTTGTTTTGTTTTAAAAAGAAAGCAAAAGCAGTAGACAAAAACAAAATGGTGTCTGTTACCATTGGTCTGTGACGTTCCACACAAGTCGCGAATCATTCCAGGCCAGCGTGATGAAGCTAGATGACGTCAAGGATTGTTCCCTAGAGTCCAGGCTGATAATAGAAGCCAGGGCAACTCGCAGCTGTATGGAGACCTTGTCCAGCTTAGAGGCCACTGGACGTAACTCCGGTCTGTAGTTGCTTAGCAACTCGTCATAAAGACTGGCGTCGGCAGATTCCTTTAACCTCTGGGCCATCGCTGTATCCACAAACATCAGTATCACCAGAGGAAAGAGAAGGCCAAACATCATACGGTCAGTCAGCTTAAACATATCCCTGGATATTAATCAGTATCACAAGAGGAAAGGGATACGAGTACAATATTTCTTCGATTTAAAGATCTGTATACATGTGTAGTGGATATATATTTCATTATTTGATCTTGTGTCAGTCAAGACCAGACGCAGCTAACAGCACCTAATTCGTCTTTTCAGCACAACCATTCAATGGAAAATACATGTACCGATAGTCCCCTGCATCCCGTAAAATGATGTGTAACGTCCGAGTTGAGAAGCATGACTTGTTGACGACATCTGGGTTGTGGTAAATACGAGTTCTTCGGTGGCAATGGAACGGGCGTAAGCTTTGATTCTAATATCCGCTGAACATGACCTTGCATAATTGGAAAAACACTTCACAGCATTTTCTCTAGTTCACTACGCTGTGAATGAACTTGTGCTGTATATAATATTGACATAAAATGCAATAGCGTTAAAGCACCGGGCCGTCACGCCCATTGAATGTCATTGTGTTCCGCAGGATGGGTTGGGATGGGGAGGGTGGGGGAACTCACTCTAGGATAACTGAAACAAACAGACCCGATAAGGGTAAAATTGGGAAATCGAGGGAAACTTCGATATAATGCTGAAAAGGTGGAGGGGAGAATACAAAGCAATTTAGTGTCACCTGCATGTTTCAACTTTAATTGCAACAACAGCGCACGGGTTTGGTTCTAACGGTACACAATGCCGGCTCCATTTTCCCCTGGCTTGCGTAGGGACACAAGCAAACAGCACAACAAATCCAATCAATATTTAATGAGTGTATCACGGGTGCTGAAACCTAGTATCTGCCACGCAAACGGGGACGGCTAAATTTGTACTGGATGAAACACTATAACTTTGTTTTTTCAAATGCAAAAAATAGGTTCATCAGACTGTTGTACAACTGACGTACCGAGGTTCGAAAAAAGAGGACCAATTTAAAGGCCATTAACTCGGTCATTCAAACACTAATTTCAACGAAACTTTGAAAAAATAATATTCAAACTCCAGAACTTTCTCAGCACGGTGAGATATCCATCTAATATGACTGTCCAGGTTTTATTATCTTTATCCTTAAGCCAGGACGATTTATCACACTCTTGTAGCTAAATGCGAAGTTTTAGACAATTTTAGTTTAAAATTTTAAAACTATATCTTTTCGAAGGTGCTGGTGGATTTTCTTCTTATTTTCAAACTTGATGCCCCCTGGTTAAGATTTATTTGTTCTAAATTTTTTTAAGAATAACACCTTGATGACTAAGTTATTGTCCTTAAAGTGGGTCCTCTTTTTTAAGACACCCTGTATTTATGTCTTTGTCTTCAGAGGCCAATATTAATAGAAAACACCAAACCCTACCCCTTTTTAAAAAAAAATCCTCAAATTAAAGTAAAACATAATGAAGATATGAATATCATGTGGCCTACTTTATCCGAGTCGAGTGGTTGGGGGTTGGTAGGTTCTTTGATGTGGCCTTCTTGTTCTTCTTGTTCTTGTACTTGTTCTTCTTGTTCTTGTTCTTGTTTTTCTTGTTTTTCTGCTTCTTCTTCTTCTGTATATAAGTGATGATTGACGTAATTTGTTCGGTAGAAATGTGACCACTCGGTGTCTGCTACAGCTTAATCCTAGATTCTTTGGGAGGAGACCTGAGCTGAATGACATCTCGGACTACGTGAAGTCATACAGAGATAAACGTAATTTCTTGGATTTGCATTTATTGCTTTCTTGATATAGAAGTTCTCTTTCGCTTCAGCTTTTTTGAACAAGTTGTGATTACCTTTATCCTGTTAACGTTTTCCTTCGCTAAGGTTTGAGTAAGGCGTGATGACTTCCTGATGCTCAGTGTTCACTGCAAAAGTTTCGACAATTCCCAGGTTGATATGGTTTGATGCAGTTGAAGGAGGCCAGATTTTCTTTCATGCAGGTGCTAAAGCTGCCATAATTTTGGCAAATTTGATTTTTTAAAATCCTTCAAAACCAAATGTGTTTGATTTTCTAGGTCACAATAAGTTCTAGTTTGAAAAAATCATGTCAACAGCTGCTAATCAGATGGCTACTATGCATATTCGGATCATACTTTTTATTTGCGCGCGGAAATCGATTAGCTTAAATGGATCCCGGATCAAATTTGATACTCCAAAACACAGGTCAATTTGATATAACATTTTATAGTGTGCAATGGCTTGCACCATTACCTGATCCGACTCTCATGATCCGAACTGATCTTTCGTTAGACTGATATGCATTATTTGACAGTCATCATGGCCTCGGCAATTCATCAATTACACGTCCCTTCCCCAGAATTACAAAGTTCTATCTGACTTTTTTTTGCCGTTTTGAGTTACTGTGGCCATATATGAGATCAGAAAGCAAATTGTCTTTTAGCTCTATCAAAGTGGTAAGAATGTTTGGAGTCATTATCGAGATATTCAAAGAATTGCATGTTTAAAACTTCTTGTGGAACTCACAAATTTTCACGTCAAATTTCTTTTTTTTTTTAAACCTAAGTATTGGGCTGATAAAACTTTGTAAATTTGAGATAGCAACGTATTATGTAGTATAATTATCTTCCTCGCTCCTTGTGATATATATACAAAAACAGTAAACGACCAACAGAAAAGTCGCAAAAAGTATACGTTGATTTTTTGATACCCTGGCATATATACAATGTTTACTGATTCATCATACTATTCAATTCAACGGCTCGCCCAATTTGAAAGGCTCAAGTTTCAAACTTGCTGATATCAATACTTGTCGATTGGTCATTAGTGCAAATTATTCTCTGCCTGCTTTGTGCTTTGTTGTATGTGGTAATTACCGTCAAAGGAGATTGGAAAAGGGTGTAATGTACGGCGTGATGTGTGTAATGCGATCTGGCAAAATTTTAAATGGTATATGCCCTAATATGAAATAGTAAAGTGTGATGGGATAATGTGCGATGCGGTAGATACGATTTGGTACGGTACGGTACCGTATGCTAATATGGTATAGTATGGTATTTTACGGTATGGCATGGTACTGGACGGTACGGTACGGTACGGCTCAAACTCCAAAGGAAGACAGTATCCTATTCACTCATACCAGAGGCGAAGCGTCTATATAATCAAATAATCACTGCTTCCCTTCCTAATTTTGAAACATTGTCGCAGTCAAATTCACCCATAGACGTAAACCTCATAAATAAATGTAAAAAGACGTTCATAATCACCAATGAACAATAGACTATGCCTAACCTTCAAAACCGTTTAATTGCCACAGAAATAACCTGTTCGCCCCTATCGGGCCACTCCATAAGCAGTCACAAGCTTTGATTAAGTAAGCTTAAAGTGAGGCTGGAAGAGTCAACCAATGGATTTGAAGGGAACATGTGCATAGCAGTCAGAACTGTTTCATTGTAGCATATACCTTGTTCACCCCTTTCGGGCCACAGTTATAAGCACCCAGACGCGCTGATTATCTAAGCGAACTATTACACTGGTCGAGTCTACCTCACAGATGTGAGGGGAACTAACTCCTAATAATCCTTTGACTCCTACTACTACACTGCTAGTGTTTGGTTTTTTCCTCGACCTTTTAACGTCCTATAATCAGATCGTGACCTTGATTATGACAGCGGCTCCTGGCCGCGAAATGCTAGACAAAAAACAGCCAAATGTGAAATAAAAAATTGATAGTTGGCGTGCTCTACCAAAGTGTTTCGGCTGTCTGGTATAACATGCCATTGTAGTGCTGACATCTGTGCTTCTTTCCTTGGTGTTCGTGTGTTCAAATCTAAAGTTAAATTTAAGGTTAGTTAGAATAAATATTTAATGAAATACTTTCCCGATTATTTTAGCGGTTGAACAAGCATACAACATGAATTCAGGATTTGTTTTCATTCACAACTCAGAGTTGCCGCCTCCAGTGCCAGTAAGATTCTTGTGACTTCTGTGAGTGTGATATCTCCAGGCCCTATCTGGTCCCATTTCACTTTGATTACCCTGTCAAACAAGTCAGCCTTCGCCCCTGACTCATACATTCGTCCAACTGAGTGTTAATGAAAACCAGCAACAACAGCATTGTTGACAGCTCTCGTCGTAAAATATGTATAAGTGTACACCTCTAAAACTACCCCTACTCTGAGTTCCACTTGACTGCTTGAAGAAGTACCCGGCTTTAGCCTTTGAAATAGAGTGAAAAGTGTGTGTTAATAAATGGGCTATTTGTGGACAGGGGAATGAAGGATTGGGGGACCACAGGGAATGAAGGAATGGAGGAAAAGGGGGGGGGGGGGGGTGCGTAAACTGCTGGCAAAATGTTTATCTCTAATGTCGTCGAAGTACGTGGTACGATTTACAGTTCATACACTTGTGACTAGTTAATCTTCTGAATGGCATTCTATGATTTTATTTCACGTTTTCAGTGCAAATATATATTTGATATAAGTCGTATTCGCTCTAAAGTGCACACAAATACACACAAACTCACGCACGCACGCTCACACACACACACACACACACACACACACACACACACACACACACACACACATACACACCAAAAACATCCATGTAATTTCATTTGGACATTTCCACAAACAAAACCAAACTAACAAACAAACACAATCATACACAGAATTTTATCTAATTGATCATCACCAACATTTCTGCATGCTTAAAGCCGTAAGCCTTGTTTTCAACATAGAACCGTTACAGTATGCGTAAATTATACATCAAAAGTACACTGCATCAGGATCGTGCCACGCCCATTAGCTTGGTGCAGCACACGAGGGATCGATCTGGGAGTGTTGTTGTTGTGTTTATAATTCATACGACGAGTGCGGTTACGCGTTTTAGAGACGCAAAACAATCCGATAGATTCTTCTTACTATTTTGAAGTTCTGACAGCGTAGAAATAATAGGGGCAAGAAAAACTTGCAATGTCATCACTTAGAAAT